AGATAGCAGAATTGAACTACTAATCTTGAAGGCTAAACATCATGGTCTGGAGGACATCTAAGTTCATTGAAAAACATAGTTCAAAAATATACTATTTTATATCCTACTCAGGTGAGTAGAACCTTGGATTTTAAAACCTTGCAATTAGCCATCAAAGAAGCAACTATTGGACTTTTCCTCCATTTAGGAAAAAATAATCAAGGAAATCAAAGATTCCAGGAAGAAATGAATCTCCTGTCCCTGGGACGAGAGGAACTAGATAGTGCTCAGTTACTACTCTAGCCCATGTTGACCAAGACCCCAATTGAAGGTCCCAGTTAAAATAGCTAAAAACGTAGGGGGAAAAATAGACCCAATTTACTGATATGAAAGGAACTGGATGAGCTCCTGACTATTTCCCTAAGACAATCTTCTAACTTGAGACCTAAGACATTTCCAGAGGCTTCTCTTAGCCAAATGATTGCCAAGCCCGTATAAAAGAAACAACAATCTCCACAAAGGTCCAAAGACCAAACGGAAACTGTTTCCCCAAACCAAAGATGAGAAAACAGGGAGCAATAAGGCAATTTGATACATTTAAATGGGGGAACTTATGGAGGAGGAAGAGACTGCTGAATTATTGATTGGAAAATGAATTTGCTATGTAAATGCTTACCTGGGGCACAATAAGATGTTCAGAAAAGTGTGTCAAACAATAAACTATTTAGTACAGTCATTTCAAAACATAATTTCCTTCTTTTCCTTTCAAATCCATTATATTCTTTAATGGTATTCTTAGAAAAAGCTGATTTTCCTACACTTCAAACAATTGCAATGTAATTTTCCTACACTTTCAAACAATTGCAATGTAAACAAAGATTGCATCCTAACTGTGTACCCTGAAATAAGACTCAACATATAAACTTTACTGATGTATTTCTACCACAAATATGACGGAACTTCAAAAGGTTCATGGGGAAAATGGAATTAAAATATAATGGAATTTTACAGGCTCTGACTGCTTTTTCTTTCCCCCATGGGATGGCTGTATTTAAGCACCTGACCTGCTGGTTAGCCGCTGGATATGTAACCATGTAACCACTGTGTTACCCCAAACCGACAGCCAATGACTTGATTCTGACCCATATGAACCCAAAATAGGGTTTCTGAGACTATACATCTTTATGGGAGCAGACCGCCTCACCCTTCTCCTATGGAGTGGCTGGTAGGTCTGAATAATCGATCTTACAGTGATCAGCCCAATATCTAACCCATGGTGTCACCATGGCACTGTAATGTGCCATCAAGCCTCCTTAATTAATAGACTGTTAGATATGAATAGGTGGTGAAGAATTAAAATGAATGGAAAAGAGAGGAGAAAATGTTTAGGGACAGACTGACTAAGTGGGAACGAAATGTAATTGATGCTCTATGCCTTTAATACAGTTTTGTGAGAAATAATGATATTGACTTGTTTCAGGACAATAGTATAATAGATAACACTTCTGTATGGAACAAATAACGGAAAACTGACTAGAAAAATAAGGTTGAAATGATTTTGAGGCAACTGACAAATACTCCTATTTTATGCAATAATATTATATAATAATATTAAGATGAAATTTGCTTTCATATTCAGTTTTATATACCTATCTACCTCTTCCAATGCTGTCTCTAAGTTTTGTCAACTGTGAATTGGGAATAATAACACCTGCTGCTTCTGGATTCTATTTAGATTACGTGAGATAATATATATGACATGTTAGCATAATATCTGGCACACTAAGTAAACAACACACTATGGCTCAGTAATTGCTACCTTTCCATGGAAGTAAATAAGCCAGAAGTAAGCAAGCTGAATTGTATATGACCTCATATTGAAGATTTACATAAAATCTTTTGATCAATAAAGTCTCAATATTTTGTTTACGGCCTGATATCTAAAGATGAAGAACTTGAGGGCTTACTTAAGGCAAGAGGGTTGGGGTAAAAATCCCTGTCGCACTCCCATGTGAGGACAAATAAGGAGCATTGTATGATTAAAGGCAAGGGCCAATCATGAGTATTGGGGCACAGTCCACAGGAAGTCTTCCACCAGGTTACTTCGGTAAGAAACAGCTGCAAAATTCTCTTTCAGCATCACT